GAGAGCAATAAGTGCTCAGGAATCATTAATGACTTATTTTTACTCTACCAACTAATTGAGATTTGTGCAAAGAAAAAAAAAACCAAGAAACAAAACCCAAAACCGTTCCTGCATGAACTGCTCCAACAGAAAGAACTTCTGTCTGCCTGTGTGCAAAGTAGGGATTTGACTGTCCTTGTCCACAGCAGTGAAAGCTCTTGGAAATGCCAGCTGCATGTCTGAATTATACCCAGGAAGGGGAAGTGAGTCTTTGAGACCTTGATTTTCGGAAGTGTCAAATACATGAAATGTGTTGCCTCTCAGCAGAGATTTAGGGGCATTATAGCCATGGCCTTTTGGGTGGTTTATCACACCAGGAGGATATCAAAGGAAACAATTTCACGCCTCAGGCATGTAGAAATATTGCTTTAGAGAGAACTGATGGAAGGAATTACTAATGTCTGAAGAGGGTAGACATTTGCATGCCATGAATTTAAGTAGCCCTCTAAACTGAGCTTTTAAGTGCAGGTGTTCTAGGAAAGGAAACAGCTTACCTGGCCAGCAGAGCCTTTACGGTGAGCTGGATCCAGGGCGCAGCGGGTTCCACGCACACTTCCCTGCCGTCTTTCAGCGTAGCTCTGCCAAGAAAGGAGCAGAGAAGTTAAGGCCAGGTGTGTCCCCCACTCTTCTAATGGCTGGAAATTTCTCTTAGCCAGTAGATGAAGGACCTTTTTGGTTTTGTCTTAGGTGTTTGGGGAATTTTATGAATGATGTCAATACAGGTGTTTATGCTGCAATCTTATAATGAGCCTAATGAATTTTCTATTTGGTTTCAGTTCCCTATCTGGCCATGCTTTGGCAGACCTTTCAGGAACTTAATTATCTTGCAAAGTACTTTATTTAACTAAACCTGGCTTAAATTACCAATTCCTAGTGAGGTGGAATGGAGTGCCATGCAGTGCTACACAGAGGGTGTCATTGTACAACCACTATTTGCTTAAGAAAGCGTAGGGAAAGCACAAAAGCCTGACAGAGCCCTTCTGTTTACTGACTGCACTGGTCTGCTTCTGTGATTAGTTCCAGGAGTGGTTTTAAACAAAGCTTACCGTATTCTTTTATTTTGTACCCACGTGAAGCATAATCCATATTTCCTCACTTCTCAAACAGGGAAATGCTCCATGTGCAATTCTGACACGGGAAATAACTTGGGGCCTTTCAGACTTTGCAACATGCAGGCCAAGTCAGAGGAAATGGTTTTAATTCATGTCAAGAGGATCAAGTTCGTATCTTTGATTGATTCTTCATTGTCTAAGTTATTAATTGTGCCCTGTGTTGTGCAAACCTAATTCTCCCCTCTAATGATGTTTGTAAGTAAGATAACAGTAGAAAGAGATATAAAATACTGTCTGGAAGCTGCTTGTAACGCTGTCTGGGAATTAGCTTATTCCTTTGGATATAAGGTCTCTCCTGATACTTGATGTCTCTGAGGCTTTGCTAGGGACTCCTGCCACTCAAAATACATAAGTAAATAGGACGAGAAGTGTTGAGTCGGTTCCTCCTGTAGGAAGCAAGATGCTGTTTAGGAAAAGTGCTTACATGATTTCCACATTTTTGCAGTGAGGTCCTCTTCGGCTTAATCTCACATCCTGAATAGTCTTGGGAGGGATGAACTTGGAATGTGTGCTTATGCACTGGCATTGGGAGCCTCTTTCATCTGTCTTCTCCAGGGCCTTACCTGTGGAGCAAAACTCTGTTATGTCTAGGTACATGAACAGTCTCTTTATTTGCTCCCCTGAAGCAAGCTGCATTCCCTCCTGTAGTCTCATTCTTGTTCCTCTGACACTCTGATTTGCTGGATGCTGAGATAAAATTAACTGCATCTGCACAACACAGCATTTTCAGAGCTGTTGGTGTGCAGGCGCATTTGAATTTACACTTGGATTGCTAAGTTTCTGCCATGATCATCTGCTCATATTCCTTATTCTTTATTGCAAACGGGATAATTCTTGCTCATCAACCTGCCTACCAAGAAGGATAAAATTGTAATTTTTGAAAGAAGAGCCATATGGACATATTTTAGGGGAAAAGGTCCTGTTTTAGTTCCAACACTTATTAAAATCTAGAGAAAAGCATATACTGTGGCATAGGAATAAACTAATTTCTAGACAGAAGCATGTTTTACTCCTGGAAACATCCACAGCATCCTAACAGGTACAAATGATCCTTTTTACTCCTGAATGACAGTTTACTGAAGATGTACTTCTCTTGCAAAAAGCCATCAAGGACGTAACGCAAGCCCGCTTGAATTTGCGTGTGTGTACTTATTAATTTCTTCCATGAGTTTAAAGAAATAATTTTCTTACCTTCTGACCCTGCCATTGAGACCAAGTAGAGAACCAAAGTGACAGCAACAGATTTGCCATCCATTGCTGCGCACGTTTTCTTCTTGACAGAAGTCCCGCTCTGGTGCTGTTTCCCATCGGGTTTTATACCTGAAAGGTGCGCTCCCAGCAGCCTGAGTGCTGAGAGGTGGGTTCTGCACATGCAGGTTTCCTAACACATGAGAGTGTTGCACAAGAAATCCAAACCTCTGTGCAGCTCATCGGGTGGCACTTCAAATTTCCCTGGCTTTTGCTGCTGTGTATTTTCAATTATTCTTGAAATTGTTATTGTTATCCATCACTTTCTGTTTGCGCTTCTTCAAGGGATATTGGCTTTAGCTGGCAATGCTAAGCTTGCATTTGGAAATCCATACAGCATTGCCAGACATCCCTCTGAGCCAAAAAGGGACTTTCTCCCCACTCTGTGAATATGGATTTTTTGTTCAGCTCTTCGCATCATGCTTAAGTGTCTCGTGCAAAAACATTTACCCAGCATAATGACAAGAATTCTTCGTCCCAATCTTACACACTTTATTTTGATATGAATCCGACAAAGTTATTTAGTCAGCGTCTTATGAAGATAAGACACAACTAGTTTCTCTTGTTCTTGAAAGGATTTAGTCTTTTTCAGTTTGGCTAAAGGGATTTAGATGCTTTATTCTGTACTGAAAAGTCTCTCTAGTCATTAAGCAGGAAATGATGAGCTTAAAAGGACTGAGTGACATTGCCACCAAAGTCACTTTAAGCTCCTCTGAAACTTTAATCTGTTCAGAATATGAAAGGAGAAAGTATCTGGCAGTAAGGGCTGTAATGATACATGGTTAAAATAAGCCCTTAAGAAGTTGCTTGTTTTTCTTTCTAAGCTCGTGCATTTAGAATAATCACAGGTGTTAAAGGCAGTAGATAAACATGTCATAAGCCACTTCTAGACAAGGAAGAAGTCTGGTGAAGGTAGACACCAAGTTGGAAGAGCCACAGCACTTCTAGCAGTCTCCAAGAGCACTGAAACACATTTCTGGAAGCATGAGGATGGTTGTTGTATTTCTAAGGAAGGTGTTTTGTGGCTGCACACGGAACAGAGATGTGATATGTTATCATTTCTACCCTTGGAATCACATCTAACCAAAGAGCCTACAGAGAGGATGGTGCAGATGCCCTGCCCGGGGTCCTACAAGTGCATCTGCCTTGGGCCATTTTGGATACAAAAACTGATGGGAAAAGCGCTTTGGTGGCCATGGTTCAGCTCCCAGTAACTTGACTGGGATTCTGCTGGTGGCAAAGGTTACGTGTTATCTGTATTACACTAAATGTAAAGGACTGATGCCAGTCCTTTGGGATACACCCTTACTTTTATGGTTGTGCAGATAGAGTGGTCCTTCCCAACCTCTCCCCACTCTTGGCTGATACTTGCAACATCCTCACCTCCAAATTGCATCTCTGAAAGAAGGTAGCTTATAAAAATCCCTCGGGAAGCAGGAAGGCTTATACTTGTAAGACAAGTCTGAACAAAACCTGTCTCCTTGAGAAACTTTGACTCCTTCCCATATGAGGTCTGGCAGGCTGTGCGGTGGGGCAGGGAGCAAAGTGTGGTCAGAATAGTTGTCCTCTTGCACAAGAACTTGCTCAAACACTGCCAAAACACCCCTTATGTCTTGCACCATGAGCAAACATGAACTGATTGTGCAGACCATGGAGTGGCTCCTTGTTGGAAAAGGCCAAACCTAAACAAATATCAAAATATTTGCTCGACTTGCCCTCTTGTCAAGTGTTCGCTGCTCAAATTTCAACATTCCTTTGTAAATTGCTGTGCTACAGGTAGATGTGAGGCCATATAAATGGAGCTCTCTTTCTTAGGATTTCTTCTGGTGTGGTCCTCCCTCCTGACTGGAATTAGGGAGGATGCTCTGTGACTTCCTTAATGTTTATCAGATTTCCCTGTTTATTTAAGTTAACCAAACCCTTGTTCGTTGCCTTGTTCTCAGCTGCCGTGCTGTCAGAGCACCACACTGCTATGGCCTTGCAATTTCTGTGACTAACCAGTATTTGTTCATTATTAGCTGGGAGTTTTATCGTCCAGACTTCTGAAAACACTGAGTCTGAGACAAGAAAAGAGGAAGAAAGTAGATAACTTCCATAATTCCTCTGATTCTGAATTATCTACACTTTACAGAGGCAACAATTTGCTGTTTTAATTTGCTGTCCCACACAACTCAGATCCCCACGTTGCCCTTCTGGGAACCCATTATGTGATACAAACTGAAACTTCCTCTATTTTTCAGTTTGCTGTTCCAACAAAAAAATGAATAACTAACAATATTGAAGTGAAAACAATTTCAATGAGCATTTATTAGGTATGTAAACATAAAAATCTTCAATAAATAAATAAAAATAAATAAATAAATAAATAAATAAATAAATAAATAAATGTTTTATAAATAAGTAAAGTTCTTTTTTCTAGCCAAAAGACGGCATTAAAATATATGCTTATACCTTCACAACACTACATTCACAATAAATAATATCTGGAAAATGATGACACAGAACTTGATGTATCTGAATTTTGACAAGTTAATTCTGGGAGCTCCCCTCTTCAGCCAGTTGCCCGCTGTAAGTGGCAGTGATCCAGAAGTTAGCTGTCCATGCTTTGCAGGGGAGGTTATTGCTGGTCTTTTCCTAAACTGTTAGCAAAAAGGGAAGGAGTCATTTAGTGAAAGCTCTGCTGGGCACACACTGCACTGTTCCAGCAGTTTTTAGCAAAAATTATTCCAGAATCATCTCCATATTCCTTCACAAGACACTTTTTCTGCCTTCTTGTTGACATGGCAGTGGTTTCTTTCCTACATAATGAGACCTATTTAAAAGACTAAAAACACTCTTGTCAACTAACTACAAACTGGGGAATACATCTTCTGAACGCTGTGACAATGTGAATGCAGGAGGTGAGAAGAGGTGAGCTGTCAGAAGCTGGGTGAGTGTCTTCCCTGTTTTTGCCTTGGTGGAGGAGTTAGGACATTTTTCTTCTTTGTTTTAGGACACTGTCTCAGATTTGCTGTTGGCCCTGGAAAGAAAAGATGGAAAAGGAAGCTATTAAAAATCAGCCATACAAAAGGTAAGACTTGCTGGTGTCAGCTGAAACCCACCACTTCGTGCTTCTGTGCCCAAGCCCCTGAAAAGCCGTGACAGAACCCAAGGGACACTGGCACATCATAACATTCCCAAAAGGATTCAATAGCAGTGAATTTCCATAATTTGATGCTTCACTTGACAATAGAAGCCTGATTTTCCCCTCGCTTATCTGCATGCCATTAGTTTAAAAAAACTGATTGCTGCTTTCTACCATTGCAAGCATGAGAAAACCAGTTAATGCTTGGGTTTTCTGAGCAGTTGTGCTGCAGGTTTTCAAAATGCTTGTGCAGAAGGTAACCTTGCCAGACATGTGTGGCACAGGAAGGCTTCAATAGCTAATGCTGTAATTAAGGCTCAAAGCAATCACAGCGTTTGTCACAATTAGTGAACACAAAAGGTAATAACTGCCTGAGGAGACAGAATTTTGGAGCACTTCTGTCCGTCCTGTTTGGTAGTTCAATTAAAATACCGGTTTTTAATAAGCTGTGCTTATTGAGGAGAAATTACTCACTTGTCCAGAATTGCCTTGATGATCAGCTTCACCCAGGGAGCAGTGGGCTCCAGGCACACTTCTCTGCCATCTCTCAGGGTAGCTCTGCAACAGGGAAGAAAGGAAGGGAAAAGGGCAATTTAGTGAAATCCAAGGCAATGCCACCTTTCTCTCATAACATCATTCTAGGCATGCACTGACGTGTTCCACTTTAAGCTGTATGAACTGAGGTTGTAGCCTAATATAAAGGGATCTTTTTCATTGTAGTGAAAAAGTATCTCCTCATATCTGTTTGTTTGTTGCATTAAACCATCTGCAGGACTCTCCCACTTTTCAAAACTGCTTTTTTTCCCTGACTGGCTTTGTATTTGAGTCCGTCTTTCACTGAAGAGTTAAATCTTTCCATCTCAATTCAGAAATTGTACTGCCCAGTTCATGGGAATTTGGTTACTTACAGTAAAATTCTGGAATGCAACTGGAATGAGTCGTATGCTAATGGTAGTTTTTTTCATTGACTTGAGTAGAAGTGTGACAATTTTTTTGACCTAGCCCTTAAAAATTATCTTTTGATCTCTTGCTCAGCATTGCTCCATGCATTTTCACAAGCCACTAGATTTCAGTATTTTAGAAAGTTATTTGCTGCCTGATGACTGTGAATTTAGGTCAAAATATTGCACGTGTTTAACAAGTAGAGATTGGCAAAACAGCACACAGTTTACAACACGTAGCACATCGTCTGCAGGAGCAGGGAATGTTGCTGTTCTGCTTTCTGAGCAGCTGCTTCTGCCAGCTATCACAAAAAAAATAAAAAAAAAAAAGCAAAATCTGCTTCCTTCTTGTTAAGTAATCAGGAAGCTTTTGCAATGTACACTTACATGACTTCAACATTCTTGCAGTGAGGTCCGCTGGGGGTGAGGTTCACGTTTTGGATGAACTTGGGATGGATGAACTTGGAATGGGTGCTTATGCACTGGCACCGGAGTTCAATGGCCGAGCGTGGCACTGCCTCAGCTGGAAAACAAAAAAAGGTGAGGCGTTTCACTATCTTCCCAGGAAGCACAACATGGGGTTTCTTGCTAACAGCATTAGGAGAGTCCTTTGGTGCACTGGTAAGAGCACAGCGTGTCCCCATCAGCATTTGCTCTGGCCATTAGACAGGAGAGATTTAGGAAGGGTTTCTTTACCTCGTGTTCCAAGCGCTGAGATGAGGAGCAGGACCAGGACAGCAGCCACAGTCTTGGCAATCATGATGCAAGAGCTTGTCTTCCTCGTGTGGCCTGGGCCTGGTTGTGTGGTGGAGTGAGCTCTGGCAGATGCTGGGGTAGAAGTGCCTGTGCTCTGGGACCGGCTGTGTTTATATCCTGCCTGGGCCAGCCGGGGCACTCCAGCATCACGGGGAGGTCACACTCACGGAAACCCACGGAAACTCCGAACCTGCGAGATGCTGCTGGGCACTGAGTCACAGGTGAGTGGGTAAGCCCCTTTCCCTTCATGACCACAGAATTGCTTCTCATCAGTAGCAAGCACTTTATGAAATAAAGACATGTAGAGTTGCCCTGTACTGAGGTGTGTGGAGTCTGAAGAGAGTTTGTAATTTCTTGGGATAATATTAATCTGCACTGGTGTCCTCCTTGTGACTTTCCACCACAGGTCAAAAGCATTTGCTCTGTGATTTCTCATCTCTGTGTCTTTGGAGTTAAATTTTAATTTTTTCCATTTTAAGACATGATAGAAGTAGGAGCCAATAATTCTGAAATTTAAAGATACGAGCTCTCGTTGTCCTTATACTCATGTACATTAAAAAACCCCCCTTTTTTATATGCTGAGATAACTTAATCAGAAATATTTCCAGTATTCTTTTGGTGAATTCAAATCCAGCTGCACTGAAATAAGCAATAGTACCACTGAGACTCTGTAGTACCATTGAGAACACACAGAATATGTAAATATGATCTGATGAGTTGCTTTGCCTGAGCTAAGGTGGATTTTGTTTCTTGAGGATGACTGCTTCTTCTAAAGCAAAAACTTCTAAGTTATTTGCTGTTTTGAATTTGGGCAAAGGAAAATTCTAAAAGCTGCTGTAGCACTCTGCTTCTGAAATAAAATGAGGCACTTGTGCAAATTTAAATTTGACCCTGTAAAGAGAAGATTTCTTCCGATTATGATGAATATAAAGAAAACTGAAGATGGAATCACAAAAAAGGATTATTCAGACAGAGTCAGAGGTGTTCAACCATTGATTTAACAGCGGAGACAAATACTATAATACAAGGTGGCCTTATTTGGGTTAAACATTAAGGACTGCCATTACTGTTCCTCTGCCAGGTAATGAGGAAGTCAAAGGAACAAAGGACAGGGCCAGATATGAATGAATGGAGGTTATTTTTCTCTGACTGATCATGAAGGTCTCAGAGATTTACATATGCCAGACTGAATTCCACTTACCATAACCATATCTATCACTGTCTGTGGTTTATAAATAGCCTTAGAGCATATGATCTAAATAGCCCTAGTTAATACTGAACAGTAGCTATTCCAGAAGCTATGGAACTAAGCATCTGGTTTTCCTATCACTTTACAGCTTGCAGCAAATACAGCTGGATTAGCTAACAGATAAACAAATAAATCCCTAATTAGAGCCCTTGCTCGTCAGACCTGAGGTCTGCCTAGGGATTGTTCTCTTCAACATTGGCAATCAGCAGGTGTCTAGGAACGTGTAAGATCAAGTGTCTTTTTGAGACTTTTCCCTAGTAGTCTGATTCTGGTTTCACTTGCTGCCTCCTGATTCTTTTACAGGATAACAAGAAGTAGACATTGATCCTAAACCCTGGTTTCCACTGGCTTCATAATTCTGTAGGCCTTCATCATGTCTCCAGATGAGACAGATGAGTCTCTTTTTACAAAGCGCTGTCCTGTTGCCTGACAGCAGGACAGGCTGGGTTTTTGTTCCTAACTCTGGATTTTTGATTTTCCCCTCACACACTATTCCCATGTACAGCAAGCTGTTTACAGAAATGCAAGCTACAGCATCAATGGAAAAGTCTTCTGGCCTGCATACAAGGAGAAAATGGAAGGATGAATTGCATTGCCTAAGGAGTGTGGATTTCTTTTTCCAAATAAATTCAGGAAACTGTTATTCCTCTTTAATGTCACTAATGATATTCAGTATTTCAAAGAAAAAGTTATTCTTTCTATGCTCTATATGCAATTAATCTTTTATCCCTTGTGTTCTTTGTGCAAAATTTTCTGCCTGTTCTGTTTCAGGGAAATGTAATTTCTGCTTTCTTGGTCCAGACAGACCAGATGTTTGTGGCTCTGTGTGTTTCTACTCAAATATAAAAGAAAGGGCTTAGATGTTTTACATTTATCAGAGACAACGCAATGATTAAAGCATAACAAATCTTGATATGGAGCAGTGGGAACAACTGAGTAGTGTTCTGGCGGCTGCACTTTGACTTGTAATTTAGGATGTAGGGAGCAGAGTGCTCAGGAGTGGCCTGCAAAAAAACTCAGAGTCGCCAAAGATAAAATTTCTCCTGTGATTACAGAGGGAAGTCAGAAGAGGTGAACTCTGAATGAAAGGGTCACATGTTTAATTCTAACTGTGTGATCTGGGCCAAAGAGAGCAGCTTTGTTCCAATTTATTTAAAAGGACCTTGTTTTGGAGACATGTGGCAGGTGAATTAAGAGCTGCTGGAATTCTAGCTCACACACACTGACTGAAGAGAACCATTGCTAAGCCTTAACTATGAGTGTCATAAACAATATCTGGTCACCTTCAGCTGTATAAACACTTCTTTTGTCATAAGGGTCATAAATACAGTTATTGAGAAGCTTCAGTTTTACTGGCATGAGAGTGCCAAGGCATTTAACACTAGCAAGTGATAAGATTTCTGAGTATTGATGCTTATCAGCAGTATGTGACAGACAGGAACGTAGGCTGCCCTGCTCTCGCATTTGACACTGGTGTGTGGTCCAGCAGTCCCTGTCCAAGATTCAGTAATTCCACTAATCAAGGCTTCCACATCAGTTATACTCTAGGAAACAAAGGGCAGGAGAGAGGCTGAGGTACCCAAGTGAAAACACTCATTTCTCAGGTAATTTTCTGTGTGCTTCTGCCCTTCTCTGACTCGAGTGCCCAGGAAATTTACATTTCCTTATGCTCACATGAACAGTGAGGAATTTCTCTCCCCTGGGGGCTCCTTGCAGTGCCTTGTCCTCATTTCTCTCGATGATTGTTCACCGCTATCTTTAGTAATCCCACCTCATGCCTGGAATTTTACATCCAAACATGTAAAAGATGATTTAAAAATTGCTGAGCAGCTGAGTCAGTCCATGTGAGCCGCTGGGGTTTTTTGAAAGAGCAATAGGTTCGACAGGGAAGGATAGTCCTGTTTCACTTTAGATTTCCTTTAGGCAAATTCTTCCTCTTGATTTCTTACACTTCTATGACCCTGTATGCAAAATCTCTTCATATTTTTGATCTGCAATACCTCAACTTCTTGGTGTTTTTTTTTCCTGGCAGTTGGGGTCTCTAGCATCCTCTGTGTTTTGGTGGAGAGATGGTCTCTACTGTGAACCTTTCCTGAGGCAACTTGGCTGATTTGAGAGGGCCAAGCAGAGAATTAATTATAGTTACAGATGCCATAACTCTGTCTTTACCCCCTACTATTCCTTAATTAGATATCAACAAACTCCCCAAGATTTTGTTTGCCATCTTTCACACTGAATGACTTTTACATGAAAAATATAAAATAAAGGGCTGAAATTAGAAATGTAATCATGAGATTCACTTTTAGTATTTGTCTTCTGATGAGCTTCTGATTAGCCCTGTCCAAAAAGATGGATTCTCTTTTGTTTAGTTAATGTGCAATTCTTCAAGCCTAATTTGTTTTGCTGAGTCCCCTCCATCTCAGGAGAGGCTCACTGAAATTTGTGTGGCTGCCTCCTTTCCCTCTTCCTGAAACTGCTTTGATATTTACCCTCATTAAAAAAATGGAAATAGCATTTGCTCATTTTTAGAAGTGCTGGGTGTGGAGTGGAGGGTCTTTGCCAAATCAGTCCTGCACTGGGCAGGTGTTACAAAGTTCACTGTGCGAATGGCTTAAGAAAGGAGTATTAATTAGTCATAAAATTGCACAGTCTTCTGCGAACAAGGATGAGAGGCAGAGCTCTGCTGTAGCACAGCACTACTTCCTCACAGCACAGGAGATGATGATCCCTATTCCTGTATCTTGCATGCAGCCCGTGATTCTTGCTGCAGAGAAGCACAGTTGCCACATTTCTGCTGGTGAATGATTTTTTCCCACCTGGCCTGCTGGTGAGAGCTCTGGTTCAGAGGCAGGAGAAGTGTTTTGGAGTTCTGTCTCGAGAGCACATGGCACAAGCAGCTGCTCCAGGAATACACAATTACAAATCGCACACCTAAACCTGTTGCTAGCACTTCTTTCTCTCTCTCCTAAATTTTCTGTTAGCCAGCTTGATTTCCCAGTGTTCATCCTGCTGGCTTTCCTGGGTCCTAGTGCTGTGCATTTAATACTCCATGCTTGCAGCTGTGCATCTAAAATTCAGCAGTGGTGACGTTGAGCTTTGTTGCAGCAGTCCCTGAGCGTCCAGCAGAATATTTCTGGTTAACTCAGGACTTGGTTCATATTTTTTTAAAGGACTCCAGAATTGCAGTCCTTCCTTTCTGTGACATTTGGCAGATCTGCAATACAACAAAAGCCATTTACTGATCAAGTTTGATGGAAAATATCTGTCTTTGTGTATTCCTGGGTTTTCCCCATGTATGTAGTAATTGCATAGGAAATGAAATCATCTCCAGAAAGGGAAGTAGTATTAGGGGGAAAAAAAGGAAAGAAAAAAAAAGAAAAGAAAAAGAGAAATGGACAGGATGCTGACTGAAACATTGTAAGAGCGTTCAGGCTACTCAGCATGCAGTGACCTTTGCAAAGAACAAAAGAGACCAGTTTAATTATATTAGTTGCATTTTTAAGAAGAAAACTAATTGCAGTAGGATTACTCAGGGACTTTCCAGTATTGCAGCTGGTATCAGCATGTATTGTCTTTCCTATTAGATAGATACCTTTCTAAATTAATCATCATATGTAACTGAAAACCCATTACAATGCATGAACAAAAGAGTTACTCAGAAAAATATTTTATTCTGTGTGACAAAGCCAAGACTTCCAGGACTGAGCAGAAAGGGTAGTTGAGAATAAGAAAAGGACCAGAGAAGATACTTGGGAATAGCACTTTCTTA